ACGAGTTGGTTTGAACCCAGTATGGGATCTGAGATACATTACCAAGGATATTATTACAAGATAAATCATTTGCTTCATTGAACACATACAACAATGCATATTTCCACTGAGCTCAGTTACCTTTGATGTGTATCACCAGTGATCAGTCAAGTAGAAACAGTCAAAATATTTTATCAGATTTTCTCAATTTTTGCATATTTTCATACAGGACATCTGTTGTTCAAACTCAGGGAAGACTTTATACTGATGAATAAGGTGACCAAGTTTGATAAAGTTTGGAATAGAATTAGTAAAGTTATTATGCACACAATAACAATTATTAACGACGACGACAACGCCGGACAAAATTTTTCCCTTAATATACCTTTCCCTTCCATCTTTGATGGTACAGGCAAGGTAAAGATCCACTAAATTAAATCTACATGTAAAATAACAACAAAACTCATTGTTTCTCGGTCAAATTTGTGCAACTAAAACACAGCGAATAGGTTTAGAGTATTAAAATAGTGAACTTAAATGTTGGGGAAAATAAATTGTTTCATAGTACACACCTTACACCGAACTGGATCATGCCAATTCTCCTGACAATTGAAACTAAAAGAAAAAATCAGAATTAGTGTACATCAAAAATAGTTGTGATCATGATCTAAATAGGAATAAACAAAGGTTCTATTGCTGATATCAACAAATAATAGTAACATAGCCACATAAATTGTAGATGACATACACAATTGTGTATGACTGAAAAAATCTTGTAACAATGTAACAATAAATTTCCTCCTAAATATCCCCCTAAGATTGTTGAATTAAATAAACAATACTTACCAGAATATGTGTCCACATGCACATGTCACAGGTTTTGCATCAACATAAATAACTTTAACAGCATTTGGACAGTCTGGCGCAGGGCACCATTTCATTAAACGGTTACATTCCACAAAGCTATTGGTGATAATATGTTGATATTTTAGTTTTACTTTACCATCTTTGACTAATTTCCTAACAAAGAAACAAGAAAAAACGAGTTAGGTAACTGCTAGGTAAACTGTGTCAGTAGCTGACAGTAGTGTCAGTCAGGTAAACATGTCATTTTCTATGGGTTCTCTCAAGACCTTACACAAAGCATTTCATGTTGTTATGAACAAGAAAATATAGGGTACTGTTTATAACAACCAAGAATTATTTGGACAGTCAGTCAGCAAGATTGCTTGCAACTTTACAAAACAGTTTGTATTCAATCATGACTTGACGGCTCTGTATCACTGACATGTGTACAGATAAGATCATTCCATTATCATACTAGATTTGGGTTAAGTGCAGTTTTTCAATATGAAAAGTGTTTATTAGAATATTCGAACAGGTTATTTTCATTTTCATTTTAACATTTCTTGGATTTCCAAACAATATAGATAAAACAAGAACTAAAGAATAGTAATTGAATATGTATACTATAATCACCCTATATTAGTGAAATATACACAGCACGCCATTTGTCAAATAGTGCTGCCAAGTCTACAACTAAGCAAAAGCCAAATGTTTTGCAAAGTTGTGAGCCATCTTGCTGAGTTTCGTATTTTTTTTTAGTTTGATCAAGATCCTGGCATAACTTTGATGTTGCAGCTGTCTAAAATTATCTAGATTTATTTTATCATCAAAATTTGGCTTTGCTATTCAAGGGAATGATTTTTTTACAAATTTTATGTTGGCAATTATTTATTTTATCAAATTATTTTCTTATTTTCATATGCCAATGACTGCATGTAGCTGTGAAAGCATGGAAAATCTTGTATTACTCTTGTATGGTTTTACAGTATTCAGATTTCCCTAGTCAGTCCCTAACTATAAATGTAATAAGAATACAATAGCACAGTTAGCCATTATTTTATACTTACATAACAGTAGCATCGTCTACTAAAATATCACAGGCATGGGCAGCACAGGATATAGTCTATAAAATAAAAGTTGTTTTGATTTGATTTGATTTGATTTGATTTAGAGTGCTGTACAATCTACTTTTGGTAACTATCAAAATGCAAATGTTTAACACACTTTTTTTAATTTAAAGCATGAAACAAGATACAATAAGTACTCTCGAACAGAATTTTCGGAAACAAAATGCATTTTAAATATATTTCACGAAAGAAATCAAGAAAAACTGAAAGCTGCTATTATTGGAAACAATGTCAATGTGACGCATTAAAAAACTGAAATAATAAAGAGGTGGAAAAAAAAGAAGTTATTCAAGCCTTACTTGTCCCATGCCTTCTTCCATGATTTTGGTAGTTAAATATTCTGTCCAGCATTCTACACAAAATTTATGACCACACTCCAAACCGGTCAAACACTACAAGAATTACAGTGAGTAAATACATCAGTTTTACAATCTTTCATGACTGACAGTACAACACAGCATTCTGATTGGTTAGTAGCATTCTTATCAAAACATCATATTAGGACATCACATTCACATTAATCATTTCACCACCAGTTCCCTCTTTTCATCACAAATTCACAAATAGTCCTGTTTATAGTTTGCACTTTCTTTCAGAACATTGCACAAAAATAGCGAAATGTTTTGATTAAAGATTAACTCAAATTTTGTCTGTTGGCTCCAAAATTAGGATTCATTTCCAGAAATGTTAAAGAATATAAAATAAATGCAGAAAAATTGGGCAAAGAAGTCTGGTGGCAAAAAGGTTAGGTGTTTGCGAGGACTAAAGCCAGTCAGTCACCAGAAAACAAAGATGACTTAACTTTTTAACCATCTTCGTCAGTTGCCATGTTTAATTATCAGTGTGTGATTCTATAAAACTATCCAATTTGAATCTACTTGAAATGCAATCTGATTAAAATCAGATCTTTTTTTTTTTAATTGCGCATACAGAAACTACACTAAGCAATACAATGAGCAAATCTGAGTGCCAACAGTTACCTAAGGTACTTGCAATTAAAATGACAGCAATATGATATTATTTTGAAATACAAATTTTAAATGATCAGTAATAGAAATATGTCTGGACCATCGACTATATCAACAGTAAAGATTGAAAATACAGCAGCAGTGTTCTCCACAAGGGTTTTAGGTGGGCGACCCACCCATCAAGTTTTACGGCCGCCTAGTAATTCTCAACACCCGCCCAACAGCGTACATCCAGCTGAAATTATTTGTAAAAAGCTTGCATTGTTCTTCCCAAGACTAAACAAAAGAGTAGTTGCCCAACCCTTTATTTTGCTATTGTTTCAAGAGTCCAAACATAAACAATGACCACTGGAAGTCTGCAAGCAGTTATCAAGTGTATTCATGGCGATGTGTCAATTGCCTAAATTCATTGTCGGCTGACATTGTTGCCACTTATTGCTCACAAAACGCAACTACAGTGGTTTCAATTTACAGCTGTATTTTTAATAATCGTCTTCCGACCACGAACGAAAGAAGTAAATACGAACGAAATGTATATGCACAGAAAATAAACAAATATATTAGCAGATTGCATGTAAACTCGAACAAAAATTAAAATTCTAGCCGTATTTACAACGTTCGCTCGATTTTCATCGTGAAAACAGCATGGAGAAGGCAAACTGATGACCTTTTGGCCTACCCCATTCAACGACCGTCGGCCACCCACCGCTGTTGGCGCTGTAACGATTTAGTATTTAAATTGCATAGGGGAACAGTGCATTCTGGGTGTTCGTGTACTGATTAGTTTACCGCGAGTATTTGTAATTGAATAATATTTTAGTTATCTTTTCCACGTACTTTTTTCAATTTATCCATTTTTTATGTCTAATCTTTCGAGAACATATCAGATTCTTTTATTTTGCCGATTGCTAGCATTTTTTCTTGAATTCCAAAACAACGTGTGAAAACGCAACATATCGTGACAGTACATGCGTAAATGCATCCTACCGTCTGTCGGCACGGGTGAGTACTGTTGCCACAAATAAAAATGTTATGGGTTTTGTTTTGACAAATCGTCTGTTTTGGCTTTGGGGGCAAATTACCTCGTATATTTTCTACATTATAACTCAATTATGTTTTTAACTTGCTCTTGGTCATTCGAATTGCATTTCATGAACGCAGAATAATTTGCGAATGTATAAATCACAGATTTCAAACTTTTTGCATTTCGTAAATATTGATAGTGACCAATCTGTTTGTATTTCAAAAAATTGTAACATGTTTCAATTAAATTAAAAAGAGAATAGTAAATAACTTAGTGTGTATTGCAGTTCATGTCATATATGCTAGAATGCTGTATGTAAATGATATGCAAATTAATATGCAAATTTATGCTAATTAGACCCACCAGCTATTTTGGATTGTGGAGAACACTGAGCAGTCAACACTGATTTGACATGTAGTCAAAATTTGGCACTGATAACATGTGTTAGGCAAACACAAAATATTATTTTCCAAATAGCAGCAGAATCATGCGGCAAATAAATGGAAGGGCAGACTTACTGATCACTTACCGAATGAGAAAAACTACTCAAACAAATTTCACATACTACTTCGGCAGCTGCTAATAGTGATGATGACCTTGTATTCATATGCGACTGAAACAGTAAAACAGTTTTACATTTAACAAATAAACTGAGTGTGACAAAATTATATTTGAATTGACACGAATGAAAATTTACAAAAGGTTTTCCATTAGCAAAATAATTACTAGTCAATTTACCAAATTTTGAGCAAATTTATCAAAGCTTCCAAATTACTTTGAACAGATTCAAAGAACCATTCAACAGGGGTCAGATCATTGAAGATTATTTACTGATATTAACACTTGAATGAATGCACAATAAAAACAAATGGAGTAAATCATATTGTACATAATGCCACAGTAGATAGTAATACAGTATAATTCACAACGCTTTTTGATCAGTGTGTACATCCATGCAAAAGAAACATGTCACACCTTTTTACTTGTGTCTGACAAAATATTGTGAAAATAAAAGAAAAAACGACAACACCAACTGAAAAAAACATGCTCAGGACCAGAAATTTGTGTTTTTATTATAGCTTTACTTTATAGCTAACAGCTGTACTCAACAGAACATGTGTAACATATCATTCATTGCATCAAACCAAATCATGAATATCAGCTTTGAGTGCTTCATTCAAGTAGTACATGTCATTTTTGAGTGTGTCAACAAATTAAAATAAAATTTTAACAGTGAATTTTCAAATATTTTCCTACAACTCAGTCCCAGCGCAGTTACAGACAGCTTTGCTATGTACTATGTCTTAAAGATCATCATGGGACTAGATTCTCACAATACACACAAAATAGTCCCACTAAGTTTCCAACTCATTGCTACGCAAGTCTCAAAATAATCATTTTTACTAAGGTTTGCCATTTGAGTGAATGCGTGCTAACTCTATTAGCATTATAATGCAATGCACTAGATATTCAACAGCAATTGTGTTCTGAGACTGCATATTATATTTATTTTTTTATTTGTCATACAGGAATTTATATGATTGAATAAAATAAATTGAAAGAAAATTACATCTTCTATTGATAATCAACATGTTCGTTAGTATTAGTCTCCAGTTCATGATAGTTTGACTCGGCTTGTTCAAATCACGCAACAATCTAAAGAAGCTCATAGCAAATTAGTCAGTAGCAAAGAATGTTATTGTTTGGGCAATTCTCAACTTACTCTAGTTTGTTTAGCTGATGATGATGTTCTATGTGGGTTAACAACATGTGCTTCTGCAAACAATTTTTCTTGATCTTCTCCATAATATCTTTCCATTAATTTTTCTTTATCCCATTTGAAATGATTCAATAAAATTCTAGTAATAGTAGCTGGTATCTGGATAAAAAATAAGACCAATTGTGGAATGTGTTAGACATAACTATCTAAATATAAAACAATTCATAGTGTAATGTGTGAGACATAACTTTCTAAATACAAGACAACTAAGTGTTGTACATTTTCATTCAGTTAAAGTTAAACTGTATGTTTATAAATTCTATTATACTTTCACAAACCAGTTTACCTTGGTGCCCTTTAAAATTATATATATTTTATTCTTATAGGGTAAAGCAGCTTTATCTAACTTGGCCTTTAAACATTTTAATAACAATGATATAATGTTTGAGTGTAAAATACAGAGTACCGTAAAATCTGTATTAGCTGGTTCCCTAGTAGCGACTTCGCACACATTCATGTGTAGATGATTTAATAGAAGCCGCATTCCCTCTGTTGCATTGTACCATTTTAATAGAAGCTGCTGCTTCTAATAAGGGTTTACCATACTTTTCAATAGTGGTAAATCAGTGAAAGTGATATTGCTTTGAATTAACAAGAGACAGGTTTTAAGAGTATTTAAAAATTACAATTTGAGGTAGTGTCATTTGCGTTCTTAAAAACAATGACTTCTACTAAAGTATGAAATTATCAAGTAGAGTTAAATGTCTATGCATATAGTAAGTGAAATGGAATATATAAATAGAAAGTTGAATAACAACTAAGGCATGCAATACTGGAATGATTTGATGAAATTTGAACCTTCTACTCAGGTATATTTTTATATAATTATAAGCAAAATATATAGCATTCACTGACAGTTTACTGTTTAAAGCTTAATTATTCACTGGCTTTTACTTTCACTTATTTAATACACAATGTAGCTGAATGATTTAAACTAAAAACCTAGTGAATATTCAAAGTCTATATTGTTTCTATCACATTTTAAATATTAAATATAATTAGTGAGTCCCTGCATCAAATCAGCTGAAATTAAACATAAGGAAATTTCTCCCTCTAGAATAATTTCACTTGACTTTGGTAGTGTTTTGAATTTATATGAATATTGTAATTTTTGAACGGGGCTCCAAGAGCAACTAGTTTATAGATCATGCTGTGACATACATTTGTAATTTTACTTTGCACTAATTTTAGACTGCTATGAATGTTTTTATAAAAACTATTTAAAAATTTTAGATACCAGTTGAAAAAAACTGGACCAATCACATATAGAATTCACAACTGTCAGCAAATCTTTGACCTGTCACAATTTCACTGCTATCTAAAATTAAATTTGTTTTACAATTTAAACATTCCTTACCAAATTGTAGTGATGCTGTTACTTTTAGTACTAATCAAGCAGTTCATGTAAAGCAGTTCAAATACATTGATAGGATTTCGTTCCACATATTTTAGCTGCAATTATTTGTTGTTTGGGTTGATGCATAAATTGACATGGTTGTTGATGTTTGCGAAATTTTGTCTTCATGAACTTATTTGGGAGATTATGAACAATAATATTTACTTAAAATAATCAAGACTGGAATATGATTGAATAATCAAGAGTGACAGCCATTTTAGTGTTAATTATCCAGTGCTGCAACAAATTTCATAACCACAATTTCATAAACAAGACCATGTTTATTTCATTTCACTTGCTTCAGCGCCAAATAAAATTTTTATTTGGGAAATCACAGAAAAGGCTACAAGATCATCATTAGAAGCTAATCTACAGGCATCTGAGAGATTACCTAAAGTGCTGAATATATAGAGCAGTTTGTGTTAACTTTCCCTTGCCCCAGACATGGACTTAGAGAGGCCCCAATGATGGCATTCATTCTTTAGCATGACATCCAAATGAAAGACAGGGATGCTTTAGAGGACTATGGTAAAACATATTTCAAAATTAGACACGTAATTGAACAAATTGAAATTAAAAAAATCAGTAGTAAGTAACACTACAAACGAGGTATGTATACAGTGTGGATTTGGAGATTGACAACATTCACAAAGACAGGAAACAAAATGTGGCAACTGTGACTCAGTTGCATTCAAAATATACATGCAATTGTATTACGTCCACAAACGAAAAACAATCAAACTATCTCCGGTTATCAAAATACACTGCATATAGCCAGCCAATGGTAGTCTGCTGTTGTATTTTATAAATCATATGTCACTGTTGAACAAAGGGCAGACGAGGTCAAATGAGCCAAAACAACTGCGTTTCGCATATCTTTTATGTCCACAGCATGTTATTAGTTGACTCCATGTAGCAAATAGCAGTGGATATCCCGGACAAAACTCATTTATAACGACGAAATAGAATATATAAACACAACGACGCTGTGTCGATTGCGACTCGAACTTGGTTGTCGCATGGAGGTTGTCGCCATCTTGAATTGCTGCCCTTTCTAACTTGCCGGACTCCCTTTCATTTTGGGATTAATTCCTAATATTTCGAGTGCTTTTGTGTGATTTTCATGAAACCAATAAATTATATACCTCTACAACCACATTCACTTCTTTTATACAATCTACCATGTGCTGGACGATTTTATCAGGAGTAAGAACTTCGAATGGGAATTCGTCCTCCCGATCGTGATGGTCAGTATGAACTGATGGTTCAGCCTCAATTCCCATGTCAAAATGATCGTCTTCCACACTACTGGACCCGGCCTCCGCCTCATCTTCGTCGTCATCATACAAGAAATCCTCGTCTGAGTCCATGGTTATTAAAATGATCAATAACAGTATTTATTTGCCGATAGATAGGTTCCGATCGTGTGTCTGGTCTGGCTTGTACACAACCCAACTCTGCTTGCCTGTACTATTCGCGTTTATCTAGATGACGTCATTTTCGGCTACACTATATACCAATGACACAATTTCTGAAAATAGACGTTACTTTATAAAGTTAATGGCCGGAAGGGTCATGAGTATAACGCGATGGTGTCCGTGAAATAACTCGTCTCCCGACAGCCTGACAATTGTGTCAAATCCCAGATAAAGTGAATGGTTTCCGAAGATGACGTCACCTTCGTGTGTCATTGTGCGTGTTGCATTATGGGAATATTCATTCGTTCTCGGCAGCTTGTCGGGATTGTCAGATGGTCATATCATTTCGTATCATTAAAACCACACTGGAAGATTCACGCGTTTTTGTTTTGTTTAAAAATGTCCCATACTCAAATTGTTGATTTAGACACTTATCTGCTTTCAAATCTCGCATGATTTTTTTAGCATATGAAGCAATTTACCCAAGCTGCTAGTGAAAAATATTGAAGCGGAGAAAAATGATAGAGACAGCTGGGGTAGACGCAATTATGGTGAAATGCTAAAAACATCATGCGTCATTGACTCATTTTTTGTGCGAAAAGTAGTTTGGTGAGCATACTTTTTTTTTATTTGGACTTTATAGGTAACATAAAGCCATGCAGTAAAAGTCGAGGATAGCCGGTTGACATGTTTTAATGACAACCTGGGGAATTCAATACATTACAGGCTTACTAGCATGTTACTGCATATACACGCAAAGCCTTACGGGAGATATCCCCACGGGCTGACCCCCCCCCCCCCCCCCATTGTACAAGCTGAAAAAACTGCAATATTACCGTTGCATTTTTCTTGTGGTCACAGTAATATCACTAATAAACATGAACATTTGTGCCATTTTTTGTGACATTTTAAACTCTTGTCTCTCGAAGTGTCTTTATTTCTTTTCCACAGAAGGCGTAATTATAAACAGGTTTTGACATTGCATGTTGCCATGCTATATTCAAGGGCGGAAGAAAGCTCCAACATTTTCAATGATACAATTGGCCCATAGAGGGCGCTTCTTTATCCGGGGCGGCTAAGTGTTCTTAGATATTATACCACTGGATTATATAATATTGTACATGTACATCCATTGTTAAAGATGAATGTGTTTGCGATTGTATCTCGACAAAACAATGTTGTATGATTTTGCTACCTAAAGGGGTATTTTTATGGAAAACTATATTCCATTTTTATCAAAATATGCAATATAGAAACACATGTTAACATCTAAAAAGACTTGTTGTTCGTAAAACTTCGTCAACCCTATCTATTTTCAAATTATATTCATGAAATTTAATTCCTCACCTCTTGACCCCTTGGCTATAATTATGTAAATTCTTTATAAAACTACTCCCTGAAATGTTAACGTGGCAGTCTAGCGATATTTACGTCATTTTAGGTAAAGACACACATGCACAATCTGGATAGCAAATACATTCCGAGAAGACATGATTTATATTATTGATAATGTAGCAAGAATTTATGTAAATATGAATGAGAAACCATTTTTACGATTTAATCACCGAAAAGCTGTATTTATTTGATTGATTCGAATATAAAATGTGTGAGCTCGGGATTATACAATATTTTTGAGTCATTGTCACATCTCTCCCATAACTGTGAATGTGGATAGACTACTGGCTGTCGACAGCTCAATTTGGCAGATAAGTGTATCATATATGTGGTTGACAACGGTCACAGTAGATGGGAGTCTTGACACGAGTTTTCGTTTTGGTTTCAATCGAGTGTGGTCTTTCTTTTCAAAACAAAACTTTGTTTTCAAGTGGTTTGTTCCCTTTTCAAATGGAATCCAGTATAAATTACATACACCATGATGGTTTTAAACCGAGATGTTTTCTCAGAGCTAGCAAATATTGGATTACTAGTACTTGTATAGTGTTATTCGGGTAATGTTTATGTGCCCGTCTTTAAAAGGGTATTTCGATTCCAACTCTATCTACGTAAATATTGGTTTGAATTATTATAATATCATATAATATGAGGTCCTGGGGGACATCCTGAATTTTGTGGACGTTGCTTACGTATTTCTCCTGGACTTATAACAAAATAAACGATAATGTCTGGCTTCAGATTTCATTCTTTGGATTCTCGTCTGTGACATGATATAACAAATGTATCACAGCATTAGCATATACCTAGTTTTAGAGGGTCTATGATCATAGCAGGCAAATATATGGTATGTGTTTTTTTTAAATTATTTAAAGGGCGCGAGATATATGAGTTTCATATAAACATGATGGCGACTTTAACTGTTGCGCAGATCAATGAGTACAAACTGAGACGTTACCAAGCTTTAACTAGGTATTTGTATGTGATTGGACGGTATCGAAGGAGTCGCCGTCGGTATTCAGTGTAAGTCGCGCCCAGGTCAAATCTCATACACGTGATTTCCAGTTGAAGTGCGCATTGGATTGTGGGACAATCAATGTTTATCAACACAAGGGTCGCACATGCGCAGCGCGACGACCACCACCCTTTAATAAATTCTCTCACTACTAGTACATTGTATATCGATTATATTATTTTAATTATAATTATTGACACGTTTCTCTGAGTATAAGTAGTCACACAAACAGTTTAATTTTAAGTCAGTGAATTGTTAGCCCCTGGTACGAAAACAAATACAATCATACGTATATAGTGTTTGTGGGCAATTATTTATAAGACTTTTCTTACTGCAAAATCAACATACAATTGAGCAGGACTGTTTATTGTTTTTTACAAGGTGACCTGGACCCCTGTAGCCCACTTAAACTTGGCCCTGTATATCTTTCACTATTCAATAAGATATTATATCACTCTTGGTCATGTGACCCATTGCTCTGGCCGTTGATTTACACACTTTTTTTCATAAGCAGAATATAATTTCCATAGTTGTATTCATATGACGAGTGTAACAGCTACAGTTAAATGTACATAGCTTGCAGACCGGCATTGTCTTAGCCACGTAACTGAGACAGTACATAGCTTGCAAACCGGCATTGTCTTAGCTACGTAACTGAGACATATTTTGTAAATTAGCTGCGCAGCTTTGGTCAAAGTGCCACATCTGGAGGTGGCTAAGAGACACAGTTCTTTCTCAACTATTAAAAAGTTGGCCAAGGAATGGGTCCGACCAGTCATTCAGTGTTGAATAAAATAGGAAACCTGAACTTAGAAGGTTCATTTCAATGTCAAGTGGTAACTTTGAATTATTCATACGCCAATGACAAAGTGTACAATATATCTTTTGTATTTATGTAAATTAATAAACGTTCAGCACTGTGTACTGCAGCTCATCGCCGAATCTTTCACTTTGTTCGTTTTTTCGCGGTATAATTATAAATAATTGTCTGATATAACGCTAGAGATAATCGTCGGATCACTTCATCAAATGTATTTGCCACGAAATACGCAACAAAGATTAAACGTGTGGTGGCGCCCTTTACGAAGTAGGGATTCGTATTTTCAGACTTTCAAAGCGAAGCTGAAACGATTGTGTGATTTCTCCGGATCAAACTTCACCTGATAGACTGGAATGCCGTATATTTAATTATTTTGTCTGATATGAAGCCAAAACACAGTTACATTTTACCTTCTTGATTATCCACACATTCAACGTATGTACGGGGAATACGCAACGTATTGTATATTCACACATTCGGAACATACTGATACGTAAATATACACAGCAGTATATTTACGCAGACCGGAAGTATACAGTGCGCACATTAACGTACACCTAATCACCGTCCCTCATCTCGGTGTTGAGGGACGGTGACCTAATGCAGAACAATGCTGTCTAACGTATTCCTACGTATACGTAGTACTGTGGAATACTTTATTTTCGCTGGAATTAATTTTCGCTGAAAAGGCTTTTTGGGGGTTTTGCTTGGAATTTATTTTCACTGATTTTTCATGAGTTTAATGTGAAATATAGGAAAAAAAGTATATTCACTGGATTTTATTTTCACGGAATCATCCCTTCAGCGAAAATAAATTCCAAGCGAAAATAAAGTATTCTACAGTATATACGAACACGTGATAAACCACTGCACAGAGTTAATACTGACGCAGATCGACGTATACGTAGCGTATACGGTCACGCAATAAACCAGTGCACACAATTAACATCGGCGTAGATCTACGTATATTTTGCGTATACTTGGCATATTTAAAGCGCATGCTATTGGCTGATTATTCAGGAACATTTGCATACAGGTCACATATTTTAGGTCATGCTTCATTTCCGGTTAATCATTCACGTAGTAATTTGGTTCTTGGGCGCCGCACGTGCTTGTAATTTTTCTAGGTACTAGTATTTTGTTAAGAAATAAAGTATCGATAGTATTACTCGTGTTCGCTACCGCAACACATTTATTTATAAACACAATACAACAACCTAACAATATCACGAGCTCCTGTT